TTTATTCATTCCGCAGACCAAACACCTTTTTAGGTCTAAGAAAAGTGGGTGGGCACGTTATAACGGACAGGCGGGAAAAGTTTTGGTACGAAAAATTCTCAAAAGTGCAAAAAGGCACGTAGGCAGCACAGCAAAATTTCACCCACCTCCGCGTCAGATAGACATTTTCTCCCAATAACCTTGTATACGAGTACAATAGGCTTCCAAACCCTGGTGTCACTCTCAATGGAAGAAGTCCCTCTAAGAGAAAAGGGAAACTTCCAAGTTTAGCGACGATATGGAAGAGTTGTCTTTTGCACCACTCAAAATCTGCTTTTATACTGAAACTTACGATGGGGTATTCGAAGGATCACGCAGTTCAGTGCCGTGTCAGTGAAAGGCACAGAAGCGGAGAGGACGTAAAATGAAAGAACCTTGATATATACACTCCCCTTCCCCTCCATCGACGATCCCTTTCATTACAAGCGCGAAACATTCAAGATTTCCTTCACTTGGGGAGGTCCGTAGCTCAACCTATCACACATATGACAGAGAAGCAGATAAACTTGAGAGGAAGTATAGAGTAAAGGAAGAGTGAGTCATAATTGCATCGAGGAAAAATAAGGCGATACCAAACGCTAACGAAACCACAAAAAAAAAGAATAATGAGAATCTAAGTGGGAAGTACACGACAAGGTAGCTGCTAGAGAATCGTGGTCACACATTTCCAGTAGACGTAACAGCACCAAAAGCCGCTTGAGAAGAGTTGACGGTTACAGGAGGAAAAGCAGCCTCTACTTCAATATCTTGACGTGAAGTCATAGGGAAAGGAGCTGAACGCTGAAGAGAAACCGCAGAGTCAGCGACACTGTTTGTAGCTCCCGCTCTACGAGCAGGCCTTTCAGTTCCTCGGCAACGACGCTCCTTCTCTTTAGCGGCATTGTCCACTTTCAAGGCCTGAAAATGCACAACCGTTATATATCAAAGAAATGTGTGCATAAATCAAGGACGTCCAAACTCCACAAGCTTTGCTGAATAATCACACCGCCATCCAGCACATCCTTGATATAATTTGATGGGGAATATCAATGTGATAAAACGTAAATCATGATGACAAAGATCATAGTAAAAAAATCGTACGGAGAATCGAGATTTTGGGTAGAGGACATAAATATGCTGAAAGTGGAAGAGGTATGCCGCAGAAATTCTCAGTAAGATTGAAGTTAAACTTTCGAGCAGAAATAACTACAGATTTGGCGTAGAAAAACTTCAGGAGATATTGATGAAGTACCAGATCTACTACGAATTTACCCACCGCCTGCACAATTTCATTAATCTGCCTCTGCATTTCCTCCGAGTTTT